CAACCGAAGGCAAAGGCTGCCTTATTCCCACCTGCTCAACATATGCATCCGCAAGGGAGAAAAGGTCCGCGACTTCATAGTCCGGTGGGAGAAGGAAGCCAGAGACGTGCATGGGGCGGATGACCAGGCGTTGGTTGCCATGTTCCAAGCAGCCCTCCCCCGCGGAGAGGTGAGGAAGGAGCTCCGCAAGAATCCTCCCCCCACGTACCAAGATACCTTGGCGCGCGCAAAGTTCTTAGCCTCGGAGGAGTTTGATGACGCCCTGGAATCCGAGGCCGCGCCGGCTAAGCGAGCTTCAGTAGATTCGGGAGAGGCCGCGAAGAAGAGGAAGAAGAAGAAAGACTCTACCGCGGGCCCGAGGACGCCCTCGGCCGGAGTATACTCTGTGGGCGCCCCCGTGGGGGCGGGTCGAGAGCTTGCCCTTTCCCCGCTCCCCCACGTAGAGGCTTACGCGGTGTCCAGCGGAACTAAGTATTGCGAGTACCATCGTAACAACACTCATAACACTAAGGAATGCTTCACTCTCCAGAAGGAAATGCAACGACTCATCGCCCGAGGGCCGCTTCTAAGAGACGACGCGGCTACCCCCTCTCGGGGCCCGCCGGAAGGAAGAACTTGGAGGAAGGCGACTGAGCCAATCGCAGTGGCGACGCAGGCAAGGAACCCCGAGAAGAGGCACATCGGGCGGGAGTGCGATGATCTGGATGAAGACGAAGCCCAAGGATATCCGGTGGGATTTATCCATGGGGGAAACATTGGCGGGGACTCCGCCGCTCAAAGGAAGAGGTGGAAGCACATGGCCTTTGTCGCCAAGGTCCATCAAGCGCCGGCGCCCAAGCTCGGAAGACGAGAGCAAATCTAGTTCACGGAGAAGGATCTTCCGAACACGCCGACTCCCCACCGGGATGCCTTGGTCGTAAAGATAGAGATCAACGACGCCATAGTACACCGCACCTTGGTGGACACAGGAAGCTGAGTCAATATAATGTACGAGAAAACATTCCAAGACCTTGGCTTGAACCGCAAGGACTTGAGGCCTGTGCGCACTCCTCTCTCCGGATTCACGGGGGACTCCATCGAGGCCGAGGGAGTTATCGCCGTATCCGTGATAGTAGGTGATGGTGCGCACAAGGCGAAGCTGAAGATGGAGTTTATGGTTGTGAGCATCAACTGCGCGCACAACATGATCCTGGGGCGGCCCGGCCTTGAGGACTTGGAATGTGTGATCTCCCCGTACTACTTGTGCATGAAGTTCCCCACTCCGTCCGGCATCGGGGTGGCAAGGGGTGACCAAAAGTTGGCCCAATCGTGCTACGTAAGAATCACAAAGAAGTTGCCGAGGGATGAGACAATGGTCGTACACGCGCAAGAGGGAATGCGCAAACTGGAGGCTCGGCCTTCGGCCGAGCCCGCCGAGGAAGTCGAGGAAGTGCCGCTCGACCCACAAGTGCCCGAGCGGAAGGTTAAGGTCGGGGCGACCCTGACGACGAGCCAGCGGATGCGCTTGGTGGAAGTGCTCGCCGCCTACCGCGTGACTTCACATGGGGACCTGGGGATATGCCGGGGGTGGACCCCAAGATCATATGTCACCGGTTGGCGGTCAACCCGGAATCTAGGCCGGTAAAGCAGAAGAAGCGTTTCCTCTCATCCGAGCGGAGGGAGTTCTTCTCCAAGGAAGTGACCACCCTCCAAAGCATTGGGCATATCAGAGAAGTTAAGTACCCGCAATGGATGGCGAACGTAGTGTTGGCTCCGAAGGGAAATACATGGAGGATGTGTGTGGACTACACCGACCTAAATAAGGCATGCCCCATGGATCCATTCCCACTCCCGAACATCGACCAGCTGGTGGATGAGACGGCGGGTTGCGAGCTCATGAGTTTCATGGACGCCTTCAGCGGGTACCACCAAATCCGAATGCACCCTGAAGACGAAGAGAAGACGTCTTTCACTACCCCCGGCAGAGTTTATTGCTACAAGGTGATGCCTTTTGGACTCAAGAACGCCGGGGCAACCTACGCTAGGATGGTGAGCAAGCTCTTCGCGCCCGTCCTCGGGAAGAGCATGGAAGCGTACGTCGACGACATGATTGTGAAAAGAAAGCAGGCAACCACCCATGCGGAAGACTTAGAAGGAGTTTTCAAGATTATGGAGAAGTACAACCTTCGGCTGAACCCGAAGAAGTGCACGTTCGGAGTTCAAGGCGGTAAGTTCTTGGGACACATGGTGAGCAGGCGCGGTATTGAGCCCAACCCCGAGAAGGTGCGCGCCATCCTTGACATGGAAGCTCCACGAAATGTCAAGGAGGTGCAGCGCTTGACCGGAAAGTTGGCTGCGCTCAGCCGCTTCCTTTCCAAGGTAGCGGATCGAGCCGCTCCATTCTTCCAAGCTGTGAAGAAGTCCCGAGGGTTCGTATGGACGGAAGACTGCCAGCAATCCTTTGAGTCTCTGAAATCTTATCTCCTCTCTCCGCCGATCCTCGCTAAACCCGAGCCCGG